ATCTAATGGCATTTTACAGCCCGCAAATCTACCTTCGTATCCGTCGGTGCTGCCCCCTGTCCGTCCTGCTGCCCAAGAACAGCCACCCCCTCCTCCAGCACCAACAACGAGTCCTCCCCCTGCACCCCCGCCTGTGCCTCCAGCGGTGATCTCCGATCTCCAAACGCAGCTCCGCGACACCCAATCTACGCTCACCGCCCAACTCGAAAAGATCCGTGCCCTCGAATCTGTTCTCGCCGAGCAGGAATCGATGAAGCACGAGGTCAAGTCTCTGCGCGAGCTCATCGAGGAGAGGCGGCGGGAGATGGAGCGCGAGGTGCACGAGCATGATGATGATGAATCTCGAGAGCGAGGTGGCTTTGAGCTTGAGGAGGATGGTGAGGACCACGTGGGTGGTGATCACGATGATGATGATGATGCGCGGAGTGTGGCGACGGTTGTCCCGCACGAGTTGGAGAGGGTTGAGGAGGAAGATGAGCATCAGGGGGAGGAGGAAGAGAGACGTCAGACTTCGGAACTTGCCCGTCCCAGGACGCCGGAGCCTTCCGCCCAGCTTCAGCAGCAGCAACAGCAACTCTTGTCGGCTCTGCCCCGACGTGGATCGTCACCGCTCTCGCAGCAAGTACATGGGCCGTCTTCGGATGATGAGAAGATTCAAGACCAGATTGCGCAGTTGACGGCGCAGGTTTCGGCTGTTATGCAGTTGACGAGTGCGTTGGAGGCTCAGCATAGTGTTGCGCAGAGTACGATTCAGAGCTTGGAGAGTAAGGTGGAGACGTTGGAGGCGCTTTTGAGGCAGTCGCAGGCCTCGTCATCCTCAACTTTGGCTGCTACTTCGACGACGCCTTCGACCTCGACCTCGGATGCTACGTCGGAACCTGCCCCATCGCCGCCGTCGGGTACGACCGCCGCTGTTGAGAAGGAGGAAGAGTCGTTGACGGCGAGGATAAGCGAGTGGATGAAGTCTGTTGAGGGCAAGTGGAATACTGTGCAAGAGGAGTGGTCGGTTGAGCGGGAGCGGTTGTCCAAGGCTCGAGAAGAGTGGGAAGGTCTATCTAAAACACGCGACGAGTGGGAACGTTTATCGAAGACGCGTGAGGAAGCGAGGGAGGAGTTGGATCGACTTGTGAAAACGAGGGAGGAGTTGGACCGGTTTGCGAAGACGAGGGAAGAGTTGGAGCGACTTGAGAAGGTGAGGGAGGAGTGGGAGGTGAGGGTTAAGCAGGTTGATGTTGGGTTGGAGAGGATTGAGAGGATCGAGAGGGGGTGGGAGGGGCGGATTCAGCAGCAGCTTCTGTATGCTGGTGCGTCGGGATCTGGCTCGACGTCTGGATCTGGCTTTGGGCATTTGAATGGGTATGTGAATGGGGAGGCTGTTAAGCATAATGGGGGGCTTGTTACGCCTCCTTCGCCGAGGAGTCAGTCTTCGGATTCGGGGTACCGCCGGAGGAGGGGGAGGAGGAAGGGGTCGAGAGGACGGAGTGGGAGTAGGAGTAGGAGTCCGAGTGTAGAGAGGAATGGGGAGGAGGAGGGGAGTGGTGGGAGCCGAGGTACGTTATCATTCCTGCTTTTGTTGCTCCCGTCGAGGATGGACGCTGAACTATCTTCGCACCCATTTCCAGTCCTTGACGGCACCCGAACGCGCGCGAACCTCGGTGTCGGCTCGCTTGCTACGCCTGAACCGTCACTTTATAAAGCGTCGATTGGGTCTACTTCTTCGTCTGGTCCTGGTTCGCGGTCTGCGTCTGGTTCGGTGTCGTTGGCTGGGTCGGCGTTGGATTCGGCGGTGTTGGATTCGGCGTCTGGGTCTGGGTCGGGTTTGGATTCGGTTTCTGGGTCGCCGGCTTCTAGTGTTAGCGTCGAGAAGGGCGTGAAGAGGGAGGAGGGGAAGGGGAAGGGTGGGGAGGGGGTTAGAGATGTGAGTGTTTTTCTTCTATTCTTTAGGTTTTGTTGTGTTTTCCTCGTTGGGTGGTCGGGATTGCTCGACCACGGCGGGGTGGTGTGCCTTCGACGACGGGCCTCGAGGACGGGAGGACGGCCCGCTTCGTCCCGCTTTCCTTTTCTTTTTAGGGGCCTTCAGGCTATCGCCTCGACCTATGACATCACACTAACCCATACTTCTCTTTCGCAGAACCAGATCAATGTCCAGACGGCGATTGGTGTTGTGTTGTTGAGTGTTGCGGCAGCGGCTGTGATATGGAAAGTCAAGCCCGAGTGATGATGTTTTTGATGAATGGACGAGCGGGATGAGTGTTAACGAGTGTGGATGTGTGGGACGTTGGATGATGAATGAGCGTGTATGGGACGGGACCTCGTGGTATGCCTCATTACGCATGGAAATTGTAATCGATATCTTCGATTACTGCGTTCTTTTACTTTCTCTTCTTTTTTCTTTTCTCGCGAAAACGATACTCTAGTAGTTCCTTTTTTTTTTTTACCCCCCTCGCCTCGTCTATTTTGTTTCTGGTTATGATATGTTTTTTACGATTGTTCGAAGTTTGAATGTTTGGAGTTTGAATGTTTGTCTGGGCTTTTGTTTTCTCTGTTTTTTAATTTATTTGATTCCGTTTCTGTTGAACCGTTGGCGTCGTGGTTTGTCGATTAGCGTTTCGACTTTTGTCGTTTGGCCGTTTGGTTGGTCGTCGTCGCTGGATGGTTCGTATTCCCCTTTACACTTTCTTCAGCTACGTTCTTAGGAACGTATCGATACACTTTACGCTTTCTTCACCTGCGTTCTTAGGACCGTACTCCCCTTACGCCTTCTTCACCATCTGCGTTCCTAGGAACGTAGTAGTATTCTTTTGGAGACCTCTTTTGGTGTTCGTAGGAACACCGCTTACGATGTGTACTCTGTCCGTTCGTTTCGTCGATACTTTATTGTTATGCTTTCGCTTTCCTCTCCTCTCTGTCTGTTGTGTTTTTTCCTCTATTCGACTCGGTTTTATCGCCCCTGTTCATTCCCGATGAGCGCAGACATACATAAAATACAGAATTACATACAAAGTTATATACGAAAAATGGTATACGGTACGGTAGTGGTAATGGTTTTCTTTTCCTTGTCTATTTCTCTCTTTTCCTCCGACTCTCCTACTCTCTCGTGTTCCTATTCGTTTCTTTCTTCTCGACTCGTTTCTCTCGTACTCATTTCCTTCGTGTCGCTGTCGTTTGTCGTTTGTCGTTATGCACTCCTCTCCTCTTTATTTCATTCGTACGAGAAGCCTTGGTTTTGTACGAGTTTTATTTATGCAATTTTATTTTCTTTCTCGCTTGAGGTCTCTCCCTTTCGAGGGGGTGGGGATGGAGGTTGGTGAGCATATAGGGATATGGTGCGTACTTTATTTTTGTTCGGTGTGTGAGATGGGAAGGGGTGGTTGGAGTGGGGAATCAGGCTGGGCAATGAGGGATGATTGACGGTGAGTTGTCCTAGTTTCGTCTGGTACATTATATTCGGATCGATGTTGATGGTTTGCCCAGCTTCCCGTTATCATCTGGATTTAGCTTCCGTTCGAACTTTGGGCGCTTGGCTTAAGGTAACGCGGTTACTTGGGGGTTGGACCCTCCGAGTCTGAGAGGCATTCGTATGGGAAGGTCAGTACGACTGTCATCATGTGAGACGTGGAAAGGATGATTGATTCAATGCTGTTCTAGTGACAAATCGGGGTGTAGATTAGCTATGTTCTAGGAGATGAATGGGAGGATGGGATAAGGAAGTGAATGGGGAGATGGTCTAGGGAAGTGAATGGATAGGAGACATGACGAGTAGAGGGCTGCGAAGGACGCTTGAGGGAGGGAGGGAAGGAGAGAGGGAGGAGGGGAGAGAAGGAGATTGTAGTTCTAAGGTTTCTGCCCGTTCGCACCGCCCTCTCCACTATTCCAGCCATTCTGGTTACCACCGTTGTTCCATCCGTTCTGACCACCACCGCCGTTGCTCCACCCGTTCTGGCCACCGTTTCCGCCCTTTCCACCGCCCCAGCCTCGGAACCATCCTCCGCCGTTCCCATTGCCCTTGTTCCCGCCGCCCCAGCCGTTCTTTCCACCTTCACCACCACCGTTGTTGTTGTTGTTATTGTTGCCCCATCCTCCTTCACCACCCCGTCCTCCTTCGCCTCCCCATCCTCCGTTCTTCCCCTCTCCACCGTTGTTGCCTGCGCCGCCCTCGTTTCGTCCCTTGTTGCCGTGCTTTTCGCCGCCGTAGCCAGCGCCGTTCTCGCCACCGCCGTTCTTCGCACCGTTGGCTCCGCCCCAGCCGCCTTCAGCGTTTGCACCACCACCATAGCCTTCATCGCCCCTGCCACCCCATCGTCCGCCCTTGTTTCCACCGCGGAAGTGGCCCCATCCTTCGCCTCCACCGTGGCCGCCTTCAGCATTTCCGCCAGCGTTGTTCTTCCCTTCGCCTCCACCGTAGCCACCGTTGTTGTGGTTCTCTCCGCCACCGTAGCCGCCACCGTTGTTCTCACCGCCTTCTCCGCCCTGGTTCTCGCCTTCTCCATACCCTCCACCGTTGTTTCCACCGTTGTTCCCGCCCTTGTTGTCTCCGTCGCCGTTTCCACCCTCGTCGCCGCCATCACCACCACCGTAGTCGTTGTTGTCGTTATCGCCGTCGTTGTTATCTCCTCCATCGTCGTTTCCTCCGTCGTTCTTGCCCCCGCCGTTGCCGCCATCGTTCTTTCCACCACCGATGTTCCCGCCATCGTTCCCTCCGCCGTTCTTTCCACCACCGTTCTTTCCACCCTGGTTTCCTCCACCGTTGTTGGCGTTATCACCACCATCCCCGCCGCCATTCCCTTGATCCCCACCACCGTTATCGCCACCCTTCTGACCGCCATCACCACCACCGTTGTTTCCAGCGCCCTTCTGACCATTATCGCCTCCACCGTTGTTCGCGCCGCCCTTCTGACCACCGTTTCCGCCATCATTCCCTCCGTCGTTGTCATCGTCGTTGTCTCCACCCTTTCCACCGTCGTTCCCTCCGTTATCCCCACCATCGTTCTCGCCATCGTTTCCACCATTATCCCCGCCATCGTCACCACCATCTTTCCCGCCTTTACCAGCACCCTGATCGTCGCCCTTGTCCTTCTTGTACTCGGCGGTGGGCGACGCATACGCAGACACAGTCCGGGTTTGGGTCTGAGTCCGAGTTTGAGTCCGGGTTCTGGTATTGGTGACCGACTGGGTCTGAGTTTGGGTTTCGGTTTGGGTCCTGAAGGCGAAGTGGTCAGTTCTAGCGATGGTGGAATAGTTAATGAGTGGGATTGACCTGGTGTTGGTGTATGACTGGGTCTGGGTCTGGGTCTTGGTCTGAGTTTCGGTTTGGGTCCTGGGGGGACGTGGGGGTTAGTACGAGCGAATGATGGAATGCGTAATGACTATGACTGACCTGGTGTTGGTGACGGACTGGGTACTGGTGACCGACCTCGTGTTGGTGACAGTCGAGGGACGGGGGTAGTACGTCGAGGTCGACGCGGGAGGGTAGACCGTCGAGGGTTCGTTGGTGCGAGTGACGTACTGGGTGACCGTGGTGCTCGAGGTCGACGCGGGAGGGTACACCGTCGAAGGCTCGTTGGTATGGGTCACATACTCGGTCCGTGTGACAGTGCTACGGATGGGAGATTGCGTTGGAGACTGAGGCTCGGTGAAGCTCTGGGAAGCGACAGTCTCGACGTTGGTAGACGAAGCGGGAGGCTGAGGCTCGGTGAAGCTCTGGGGAGCAACGGTCTCGACGTCGGTGGGCGAGGGGGACTCAGAGTTCGCGTAAGAGGACGTGTAATAGCTGTGGGTGTAGGTGGGAGAGACGTAAGCGGAGGAGGAAGCGCCAGGGGCGTAGTAGCTGGAGTAGGCGTAACCGGGTTTTCCGCCGCCGTCGTTGCCCTTGTTGGGGGCGTCAGCGTCAGCGTCGCCGCCAGAACCTGCGCCAGAGCCGCCGTTGTTACGCTGACCGGTGGGAGAGGCCAACACAGTTGGAAGGACTAGAACTAGAGCCGAAAAGAAGGCGTTGAGTTTCATCTTCGCCGAGTGGGTATCAAGAGAGAGGGTATCGAGGAGTCCGGGGTATCGAGAGCAAAAACCAAAGCCAAAGAAAATAGTCTAGTGATTAAAAGAATGTGGGGTAGTTGTAGTCTTGTTCGTTGAGCAGATTATACGAGATCTAGATGATAGCGATTGAAAGCGAGTGTGGTGTCGATAGCGTGTGTAGGTTGTGCGGTTGATGGGAGCTGGATGGACGGGGAAGTGGGGTTTTATACTCACTTTCGGGGCTGACTGTAACGTGCTCGCGATTGGAAGATTGGTGACCGGTTGGGGTACGTAGCCAACATAACGGCTAGCCGAGGCGATTTCCAATACGACTAGGCCTGCTCAGAAAGAAATCCGAATTTCCGAGTCAGTCGGATGTCGATCGCACGATGTACTGCGTGGGCTAACTCCCACTGAAAATAACATAATATAAAGCACTATCATAGGTGGAGACATGTATCATCGTCAAGCTACGCGTACGATGGGTAGAGTGATTACTTGCGCTTGGCGGCAGCCTTTCCGGGGGAGGGTGATCTCCTGGCACCACCTTGTCCAGCGCGGACCGCACACGTGCAATCTCCACAACCGCTGGGGGTGTAGGTCGGACTGCACGTCCCAGTACCTGCATTATATCCACAGCTGAATCCCATCCTATCGCACATGCCGGTATTGCAGGTCGTCCCAGCAGGAGCAACGGACTGACACTGGGCGTCGTGAGCTCTGGTGGTGATATCTTCGAACCGGTCTTCGATGGAGCGAGCTTCGAGCAACTCGTCGATGTACTCGCGCGCTTCGATGAGCTCGTCCATGAGGTCCCGGATTAGCAGGCCAGTTTGGACTGTACGTGCGTTGAGGCGCTGGGCGGTGATTACTCCTGCAGTTGCAACAAGTGCACTGGCGGTGACGGCGAAGGCTTTGGTGAGTTGCATCTATGGGAATGCGAGGGGTTAATTTCGATGAGAACCTTCCATTAGTGAGATGTAGTCTCACCTTTAGAGATAGAATTCGTAGGAAGGATGGTGGAAGGCTTGAAGCAAATGTCTGGCTAAAGGAAGGGTTGAGTTTGAGATCTTCTTGCCAACGGTGTCCTACCCATACCTGTAGCGGATGTGTGAGGAGAAAGCTTCTGTAGGTTGACCTCCTACTGCTCTCTCCAAACAGCTTTTTATACCCAATCGCCTCTAATTTGAGAACGGTCTCTCCGGCGACGGCGCATCGTGTAGCGCCAGACCTTTCCTTCCTGGTCAATGCGCGACGGCCAATCTCTGCGCAAGTGAGTACTGATTGATGTTTGATGAGAGAGTGTATTGACGCTGGTTGAGCGCCGATCATCCCACCTTCAGCGTCGCGCTAATCCATGATGCGCCCGTAGACGCTTTCGTATACGATGATGTTTGCAAGGGGTGTTAAGTAGATGGAATGGTGGGAATTGGACAAGGCAGTCTGAGCTATGCGTTCTCTAGAGACAACTTGAGATCTGACAATGTGATCAGTACTATTCGCTACACCATCATTCCGCATACTCTTACCGGCGATTATGGTCCCCCGATCCAACCAATTGGCTCCAGGAATCCCGCACGCTTGATTCCAAGTGAGAATATATCTGGCTAATCTTATTCGCTCTTCTCAAACTCGCGAACCGATCCTGAAGAAAGTATCCAACAGGACATCATTGAAGAACGTGCCTCAACGACCCTGCGGTCCCTGCCACATCGCGCAAGTGCAACAGAGCAAGAAGATTCAGACTGATAGTCGAGGAGCGACGATCACATCACTAGTCGAGCTAACAGCAGTTCAGTACAGGCGCTGTGCGATAAAATGTGATTTAGTGCCGTCATAATGCGCTCGACGTCGTCGAGGAGTCCAGTTCGTAACTCTTCGCGAATGGTGGGGGGTGTGGAGGAACATATGGCAAGATGAATGACCATCTGTAAAACTTTTAAACGACGAATGATGATCCAGCAGGCAAATAAACTGGGTGATTGCCGAGGGGATCCGGACCTATCGGAGGGTTCTTCACCCGCGTCATGTTGGGCAAAAGTGAATCGACTACTTGGAGAAGCTTGCGAGCGCAAGGGGGCCAATTGCGGGTCACGATGTGCATAGCTGGAAGGCTCCCAGACAATATATCTTCCAAGAGCTGATGGGTACTTCTCTCAGTGACCGTTCTATACTAAATGAATGTCGTGATAACACCTACCGACTCGAAGATGGAATCCTCGCCTACATATGCATTTGTGGGTGCTGCGAAAGCACCAACACGATAAGGATGGCCACATGGCTCACAGCTGCCCATCTTTTCGAAAAGAGTAGTGAGTCTAGTGACGAGAGAATGTAGAGAAAGAAAATAAGACCCTGGATCCCGGTAAGCACAAATCGTGAAGAAGAAGCCCATCTGTTAGAAGCCTCCTCCGTGGGGGATATCTACCAGGTTCCTGGCTCAAGACGTAAAAGTGTCGTCGCCCATACATTAGTCATTTTCAAGCTCAAGAATGAAAGATCGCAAACCAATTATGAGAGATTGTCGCTGTGACAGCACTAATTTTCGCCTTCCCTCGAGACGCGTTGTCAAGAACTCCTGTCTATCACGCTTTTATATATTAGGTCCCTTAAATTACATAAATAAAGCTAGAGGGGCGACTCCACGTTGGATTAAAACGGCCCGATTGTTGAACGAGTGTGTACCAGCTCAGTGAGAGCGTAAAAGGATTGCACAGTTAGGCATAATCACCGGAAGGAACTCTATAGTACGGCGCTTCTTCTCAAGAGAATTACCATCTTATCGGGCCTTGGGGCCGTCATCCATAGGCGTCTGCGAGCGTTCGAGGTCATACGGTTTATTCTACGTGATAGTAGCAACGGAATATTTCAGCGAATCCTGAATAACGCGAGGGCAAAGTATCAGCAGAGGCGTACCATGTAGTCTTGATGATCATCAATGTAATGCGCGACGGTAGACTTCATCTCTATGACCACTTCGCCTGGCCTGTTCTGTCGTGGTCGTGAGGGCCGTACAGTAGAAGGGTCCATTGAAGCACTTTTGGAGAACGTGGATCGAGGGGTGGAGCGAGAGTTAAGACTGGAAGAAGGACGTTAGTTCTGAGTAGTCGCATCGAATATGAAACCGCTTACGAGGCCAACACGCTGTTGGAATAGACTGATGGGGAA